TTTTTTAATATCTTATTATTTTTATGTGTATGAGTTTATTGCTTGCATATAGGTAGGTGCACCTGTGTCATGCAATGTCCGCAGAGGTCTGAAGAGGGTGATAGATGCCACCATGCCCGGCTGGGTATACTACCTTTTTTTGAAAAAAAATATTTTATCATTTTTACTTTATAAGTGTCTTGCTTGCATGTGTATAAGTATACCCATGTTGTGCAATGCCTGCAGAGGAAAGAAGAGGGCATTGAATTCCCTGGAACTGGAGTTACGGATGGTCGTTAGCCACCATATGAGTTCTGGGAAACCGAACCTGTGTCGTCTGTGAGAACAATCAGTACTCTTAACTGCTGAGCCATCTCTCTAGCACCACATACTATCTTTTTAAGGTAACTGAAGATAAGAAAAACTTAGCAAAACATTTTCTTTTACAGACATCCAGTCCCCTGATGCTGAGTATGTAGACTTGCTCCTTAACCCTGAGCGCTATACAGGTTACAAGGGGCCAGACGCTTGGAAGATATGGAATGTCATCTATGAAGAGAACTGCTTTAAGTATGTATCATTTCCTTAAAGCTCCAGTTAGTGGAAAAGGCCCTTTATATTCTTTTTTTGAAAATTTAAAAGTAGCTCACTTATTTTATGTGCATGGGTGTCATGCCTGCATGTTTATAAGTGCAGCCATGCTTGCAGTGCCCACAGAGACCAGAAGAGGGGTCAGATCCCCCGAACTTGAGTTACAGAAGGTTGATAGCTGCTATATGGGTCCTGGGAATTGAACCTGGGTCCTCTGCAAGACTAGCTAGTGCTCTTAACTGCTGAGCTAGCTTTCCAGCCCCCACCCCTTTTTTACATTCTTAATTGTTTTGGGGGAAAGTGTGTGTGTGTGTGTGTGTGTATATGTATGTGTTTGTATGTGTGTGTATATATGATGCTATCTCAGAGATGGGAGGTAATCTGGAAGAGTCTTTGGAATTCCTATGTATAGGGTTAACACATTTCACTTATTTTTTGTTTGTTTGGAGACAAGATCTCCCTGTAACCCTGGCTGGCATGGAACTCACTGTGTAGACCAGGCTGGCCTCAGTCTCACAGAGATCCACCTGCCTTTGTCTCCTAAGTGTTGAGATTAAAGGTGTGTGCCACCCTGCCAAGTCCCATTTTACTTTTTATAAATCAAATTTAAGATCTAAGCAAGCATAAGAACAGCAATTATGATTGTACTAATACAACATTAGTTTTCTGTTTTTCTTTTTGGCTTGGAGAATGTCTTCAGTTTGGAAAGGGAAAAGTTTTCTTTATTGATGTATTTCTGTTATGATTTTTATTCTCTTGACTTTTGGGAATATTTAGTAGTTTTAAAATTTAAAAGGTTTTTTAAAATCTAAATTAAGGGTATTTGCATGTTAGGTTTCTGTTTTATTGTCATTTCCTTGTTCATATCCCAATTTCCTTATTTCTAAGAATATAAATAATGTGGGAGGTACTAAGTTACATTGGCTGTGTTAAATATAGCTTACATTTTTCTCAAAATGTCTCAAGTTGTGCAAACTTCTAAAATTTGAATTAGAGACCCCTGTATTTTAACAACCCTTGTATTTTACTAATAATACTAATTGCTTATTTTAGGATTTTAAAAATAATACTTAGATTGGGATTGAAAAAACACTTTAGTAACACTAATTCTCCCCCAGAACTTCTGGTTGTCTCCTTCTCCTTCCCCTCCTTCTCTCCCTTCTCTTCCTCCCTCTTCCTTCTTCTTCTTCCCCTCCCCCCATCTACACCTCTCTTTTCTTTGAGCTATAAGTTCTCATGTAGCCCAGGCTAGTCTAGAACTCAGCATTTAGCTGACTCTGGTCTTGAACTCCTAATCCTCTTGTCTCCACCCTCCAAGAGCTGAGATTGCAGTTATGCAGTTCCATACCTGGCTTTATTTGTTCTTTAAAAAAACAAAACAGCCAGGGGTGGTGGCATATGCCTTTAATCCCAGCACTTGGGAGGCAGAGGCAGGCGGATCTTTGTGAGTTCAAGGCCAGCCTGGTCTACATAGTGAGTTCCAGGACAGCTGGGGCTATAGGGAGACCCTGTCTCAAAAAGACAAAAAAAAAAAAAAAAAAAAAAAAACACAAACAAAAAACCAAAAACAAAACAGAGCACGCAAAAAAAACTTACCTTTAAATCCCAACAAACTTGATGACTTCACAGCAAGCTGATGGGTCTAAGATTACCTAAGTGGAAAATAATTTACCCATTCTTTTTTCTATTTTTTTAAATTGAATGCTTGAATTCAGTATTGACTTATTTGTCTTTCAGGTAGGATCATAGTTTTTACACACACACACACACACACACACACACACACACACGCACACACACAAGCTCTTGGAAAAGAGCTTGGCTGATACTTTTTCTTTCTTCCTTTGCTTGAAGAAATGATTGGGAAATGGCCTGGTGGTCACCATAATGGCAAAAGTTCAGGGAATTTTATAGCTATTATCACTAAAACAAATAGCCAATAATTTCTCTAAAAGAATTAGAGAAAGCTAGGGACTGGCGAGATGGCTTAGCAGTTAAGAACACTGATTGTTCTTGCAAAAGACCTGGGTTCAAATCCCAGTACCCACATAGCAGCTAACAACTGTCCGTAACTCTAGTCCCAGGGGATCCGACAGCCTCTTCTGACCTCCGTGGGCATTGCACGACACGGGTGCACTTACCTACATGCAGGCAATACATGCATACACATAAAATAAAAATAATAAATATAAAAAAAAAAAGAATTAGAGAAAGCTAAATACTTTACAATCTCAGTTAAGCAATTTAACTTTGGATATAGTCCTTAAGTAACTTTCTGAAATAATACCACTTTATTTAAATGATTATAATATGGTTGGTAACATGTTTTATATAATTCTTTTGTTTGTAGGCCACAGACAATTAAAAGGCCTTTAACTCCTTTGGCTTCTGGTCAAGGTGAGTGATTTGCATTTTTTATTGTTTATTAGCCAGTATATCTTGGTTAGAGTAGAGAGGAAGGCAAGATAAAGTGTCAAGATCAGTTGAGGTCATCAGGTACACTTTGTTGTTTCTGTGAAAGCCATATCTCATACTTGCAAAGGTTTACTTAGACTTTCTGAGGAAGTTCATGGTATTAGACCATCATCATAGGGTAGGCTATGTACTTACCTGTTTTTGCAGATACACTAAGTGGTATCTTTGCTTATTTCAATTTTTATTTATCCTCCAGATAAATGAAGATCCAAAATACTTCTCAGATTTTTCTAAAAACATGTATTAGAGAACAGCTTAGTGGTAGAGTCTGGCTTAGTATTTGGGAGGTCCTGGGGTTCACAGCACTGCAAAACAGAAGCCTCAAATAAAAACCTTTACATTATATTCACACTCTGCATCTGAGTATTCTGATTATAAATCCATATACCTTTATAGCTCATTAACATTTCCTATTTTCTATCTGTAGTTAAGATCTGGCCCAAATACTGCCTTTAAAAAAAAAAAAAAATTGCTTGGTCTTCCTAATTGGAAGTAGTCTCTGCCTTTTGTGAAGTAATCTGATGCCATGCTCGCTTCCTTCGTATGGTCTTGTTTGCTGATAGTATCATTTTATTATTTAAAGATATGTATTGCTATATCCTAGTACTTTGGGATACAAGCAGTATTTAATATAGAACTTGGGGTGTAAGGAGTAAATCATTAGGTAAATATTATTGAAAATTGTTTTCCCCATTGAATAGTTTGTCTGCTGCAGTGAAAAATCTCTTATTCTTTCAACAGTGGTTATTCACTGTCATGCCAGGCAGTGTGTAGGTGCCAAAGGGAATGTAAAATTCAAACTGGTGTCTTAGTACTAGAATAGTTTGTTGAGCAAACCATATGATTTCTGAATTTTCTTAGAAATTACATATCCCTACTTTCTTGACATAGGAGCTTACTGATAAAAATCTGCAGTACACTTTTAGCAAATGTTTAAGGTTTTCACTTACTTCATTTGAAAAGATGCTGATTTCATGCAGTCAATAAACATAAATTTCTTCCTGTAAAGTAAGGAGATTGCATCATTCCCTAAATGCTGGCAGAGTTTTCTTTCTTAGATTTCAAAAGAACATTTTAAACAAGGCTTTTAGGTTTTGTAGAGAGTTGTATGTGGTGACCCAGTGGAAGCCATTGCTTTAATGTTAGATGAGGAGCAGATCTTCAGTAGCCCATACTATGACTTACTCATTTAAATCACCTTTACCTACTTTAGAGAAAATGGAATAATATCAGTATTTATCTTTAGAAAACTGGTTAAATTATGTATGTGTAGATAAACAATGATGGCATTAAAGAAAAATGGGCAAAATGATACTATTTCAACAATAAATAACTGAATACAAACTGCTACATTATGTAAACTGTGAATTTTGTAGTCTTTAAAAATATTCCCAAGATTAGATCTTCTGTCACTCTGGTGGTCTCAAAGCAATAATGCAGACCTTTAACAAGAATTATGTTATAGCTTTAAGATAATAAATATGAAAAAAGACTGCCATCCCAATAATCAAAGGCACAAGCTCTTGGATACTCTCAGGTGATGTGCTGCATTCTTTTCTCCTCCCCGCTCATATTAAAGCCCCTGTGTTGATCTGGGTAGAGTAGTAGCCATGGGCGTATTCTCCTGATGTTGTTGTTGGGAATGCACTGATGGACTAAAACAAAACACTGTTAAGTGTTATTTTTATGAAAGTGTGGCATCATTACAAAAGGAGAAGCTTGAAGGGGTTTATAACAAATATTGTGTTTTGTTTTTCAGGAAAAAGTGAAGGTATGTATAACTTTATCATGTATTACATATATGGATTTGCTTACTTAGATGTGTATTCTGATGTTTATTATGGATAAGCCCAGCCTGGACTCTACATAGTAAGTTCTACGTAGTAAGTTAACTTCAATGCTCAGAAGAATATTTTATTTCTTATTTTTGTTATTTGGAGATATCTGTAGCCCAGGCTGGCCTGGAACTTACTATGTAGTCCAGCCTGGCCTCTAATTCTTGGCAGTCTTCTTGCCTGTCTCCCAAGTGCTGTATTTGCAGTCAGGATCCACCATGTTCCTTTTTGCTTTTTAATCTGAAGTGCTGGAGGTGAAAGAGCAGTGGAAAGGGAAGTGACTGTATTCCCGCATTAGAGACAGCCTGCCTCTGGCAGTGCAGCTGTGTTTACCCACAGACTGGAAACTGGGTATAACCTCAGTCCAGCTTGGAAAACTCCTCTTCTTTACTGGTTAAAGTCTGGGATCAACGGGTGCTTATAAAGTAAGGTTGTAGATGTTTTTTGGAATATTGTTTTCAGAGCTGCTTTCAAAAGCTTATGATGACTCTTGGGTATAGTTATAATTGCCCAAGTTTAAATTAATAGGATTTCTAAAATTTCAAGTATAATGTAAGCTCACTTTGTCTTTTAATGTTTTCTTTAAGGGTGAGATTGAAATGACTTTTGTTATTCTGTGTGCTTTAACTGGGCCTTGTGGTTCATGTCAGTAATCCTGTCTACTTGAGAGGCTGAGGTAGGAGGATTGCCAAGTTCATGGCCAGTCTGGGCTACTGAATGAATTCCAGGCCAGCCCGGACAAATTAGTGAGACCCTGTCTCAAAAAGTGAAAGCAAAGAAGGCTGTGGATGTAGCTCAGTGGTAGAGTGGGAAGCCCTAGTTTCACTCTTCAGTACTGCCACACACGGACACAGACACACGTACAGACATACATACTCTGCACAGAAACTGAGTCAATGCTGGGCTTTAATCTATTTAGATGAAATTAAAGTATATTTTTCTCTTCCTCAAATTCTCCTGTTTTCTAAACATTATTATTTAATTTTTATTAAATTTATTGATTGACTGATTTAGTGTATGCATGTGAGTACACATGTGCCATGGGATACATGTGGAGGTGAGAGGACACTTTGAGGGGGCAGTTTTTTCTTCCACCACATGAATCCCAGGGGATCAGGCTTGGTGGCAAGTGTCTTTACCTGCTGAGCCATGTGGCAGCCCTTGTTTATATGAACTGCTTTTGCATTATGTTCAAGTAATAAGAATACTGAATTCTGACAGCATTATTATCTTATTTTAATGATACATTAGTTTATTTCATTTAGCTGCTACAGTACTATATTATGAAGTACAGTAGTACTGTAGTAGCTAAATGGAATTCTAACTCAGAATTAATGTTTGGAAGGGGAATTGTTTAGCAGTAATGATGATGTTTTTCCAAAGCTGCCTCTATTTTTTTGATGTTAGATAATGGTCCCATCATTTTCAGCTTTGAGTAATTTTATTCTCATTGAGTAGTAGCCTAGTTTTGTGTTACATTCTGGTTACATTGTGTCTTTGACTTTCCAGTACTATTTGTCTTATGGGAAAAAAGATCATTTAATGGTAGCTGCGTTAGAGAAACAAGTTCATTCATAAGTATTGCATTGATTTTGGCCACAGGGCAAACATCTATTCCTGACAGCTGCCACATTAGGTAATTAGTTAACTAATCACAGTCAGGTCAAGTTGAGGGGCTCTTTTCTTTTAGTGGTGCTGGAGATGTAACCCAGGACCTTGTACTTGCTAGGCAAGTGTTCTACCTTGTTTATTTCTCCTCAGATCAGGTTAAGGACAGCCATTTCAGGATGAAAACTAACTGAAAATGTCATCGAAGGGTAGGTCCCAAGTAATATTGTCCCTCATTCACTTAACTGGTAGTCAAAAAGTGGGGGAAAATTTTATAAACAAACTACCACAGTTCCTAAATAATAATGACAATGTATGTGAGAGTCTTGCAAGAAATTTACAAATATGACTTTATGTAATCCTGTTGGCTGTCTTAGGAAGTATAATTTTTACCCCCATTTTATAATTGAGAAAACAAGTCCCAGAGAGGTGTAGGAGCATCTTGGCTAACATCCATGACATGTAGGGTGCCAGGTTAGGATTCATTCTAGTCAGGTAGATGGCTCCAGAGATCACTCTCTTGGTTGTTGTTTCATACTGCTACTCTGTTAAGAATTTTGATAATATAAATATGTAAAATATACATACAGATAAATAAGTGTGCTCTTATCTGGTCCTTGTGATCATTAAGCACTACTGTATTTTTTTTTAAACTTAAAAAAATAATTTTATTTATTTTTATTTTATGTGTATGAGTATGCTGCCTGCATGTATGTGAGTGCACTCGTGCAATGCTGCAGAGGTCAGAAGAGGGCTTCAGATTTCCCCCCTGGAACTGGAGTTAAGGACGGTTTGTAGCTGCCATGTGGGTGCTAGGAATTGAACCCGGGTCGTCTGTAAGAGCAGTCGGTTCTCTTAACCATTGAGCCATCTCTTCAGCCCCACATTATGTATTTTTAAAAAGATGTGGGTATGGGCGTGTGTGTTCAGGTGTTTGTAGAGGCCAGAAGAGGGTATCTGATGCCCTGGAGCTGGAGTTACAGGTTGTTGTGAGCTGCACTATGTGGGTCTGGGAATGGACCTCAGGTCCTCTGAAAGAGCAGCATGTGCTTTTAACCACTGATCCATCCTTATTACATATTTTTATCTTTGTTGATTTGATGGGTCAAAGTGGTCTTTTACTTTTCATTTTTTAGTTACCAGCAAAATTAAACATTTTATGTTATTACTATTTGTAATTTTCTTTTCCCTCTTCATCTATTTAGTTTTCTTTTCCCTATTCCTTTTAGCATTTTCTTTATATATATGTTTATATATTATTATGTAC